ACTTATGTATATATTCACTGGGCTTAAAATGCAGTAAAATAATATTTTGTGGAAAAATCATCTTAAATTCCATTTTATGCATTTAACATTTTTCTGTTCATAAGAAAATACAGAAAACCTAATATTTTTCTTTTTAGAAATCTTTTATTTCTTCTAGTCTTTGGAAATGGGGAGGTTACTAATGGCACAGAGGAATGTTCTTTTTGTTAACTGGTGCATGGACTTGGGGGGACACTAGTTTAGGCTGAGACCCAATAATAACTTACAGTCATTTGAAGCTGTGGACTGTAAGAATTCATTTCAACTGATATTAGGCATGACACTAATTTGGTATTAAACTCTAAGCACATTAGCAATTATGGTACAATGCACTATTACTTTCCAAGTCTCTGCAGTAGTTTTTCATTATTAATGGTTTATGTTCTTTTCTTTTCTTTTTTAATGCAGGATGTATAATTTTTAGTAGTATGAATTCAGAACAGCCCCACCATTAGAATTTTTACTTATATCCATTTAAATATGCATTCTAGATGGTTGAATCTATTTACAAAATGTGATCGTAGAATAATATAATCCTATAAGAGATCATCAGATAGGCGCTTGAAATGCTATGCTTAATCTATAGGAAGACAAAGTGTCTAACAATGAACCAAATGAGAGCCTTGAATGCTTGTCTGATTCATCAAAGTATAATTAAAATTCTGTTGTCTGATTTGGTCCCCTTTACAGTTCAAAGACAATTTCTGTGGTGTATTATCAGGCTTTGGAATAAGATGATTGCTTTCCTAAAACATAGTTACATAAACAAATGGGTAAATGGATTTGTTATGCGCCTAAAATAATAGTTATTCTTATTATACATATTCCTTGGTTTTACTTTTCAATCAGTGACTTTGGAAGCAAAATTTGAAAAATACTTATAAAATAGGCTCAGCAATCCTGAATTAATTAGGGTGACCAAATGTCCTGGTTTGTCCAGGACCAAGGGGTACCGAGGACTTCAGTTTTAAAACCAGGACAATCCCAAGCAATTTTAGTATTAAAACCAGGACAACTCCAAGCTAATGGGTACAGATGATCATCCTAAAGCAGGATGAAATGGTGCTGGAGTGAAGACAGTTTTAGGAAAAGGAACATGTGAAAAATCTTTTGCCTGCTCTTTTAGGATTTTCAAAAAGTTTCCTCTTTCTACTTCCACAGCCCTACTCTGCAGTCAGGCTAGTTAATGTTAAGAACAGGCTTCTCTCTCTACATCAAGAACCAAGACAAGAGCGACAGTTGGCATTCTGGCAGAAGGCAATGCAGGGAGGGGGTAAGAGATTGAGCTCTGCATCAAATAGTCTGAACTCGAATCCAGACTTTGCTGTTGATTAGGAGAGTGATTTTGTACTTCTGTTTTCTCAACTATAAATGGAAACAATAATAATGTCCAATCTGTAGGGTTACATGAACAGTGTCTGCCATGCATTAAGTGTTCGAGGAAGTTATTTTTATTGTGATCTTGATTAGGATTAGCAATTTAGAGCTAGCCAGTTTGTCTACCAGTGGTAGTAACTTCCATATGTAGATTCTTAGGGGAACTTGTTACTGCTATCAATTTTCTGTGAGGGGTGGCTTCCATCACCCAAAGGCTTTGCTATGTTTTTTGCTTGTTTGTTTGTTTCTTACAGTAGAAAAGATATGTACATGAAATGGTAGAAGAAAATTTCAAACTTAGAACTGTTCCAGGAAATGTTCTATCAATGGAAGGGACAACTAGATGATCAAATTACCACAGTTCTTTTGGGGCAAATTATATTGTTATATAAATTGGGGCAAATTCTACAGATTTTATTTTTTTGATAGCTAGTATCATGATAAAGCTGCATAATTGAATACTTCATTAAACTATTCTGAGAATTGATTAAGGACTTTGTGATAATACTTATTCTTATTCATGAGGATTGGGTACAACAGGCTATAGGCTGGTCTGGCTACTAGTAGAACTTTGCTTCTATTACAGTTATACAAAGAGAGACTGCTGAAAAGTAGCTTGTGAGTTGACTATGGATTTCTAGAGAATGAACTCAGTTCCTTCAAAATTGCATTGTTCTCTGTTTTAACATCTAACATCAAAATGTCATCCCAGATGGCAGTGGGGGAGCTCAGTGTATGTCATTCCACTCTACTCTGTCCCAAATGTGTGGTGGCCACCTCTAAGTGAGCAGAAAGTAGATTTATGCCTGATCTTTGATCTTAAAATTTAGCCAACTAAGTTTACTTAATTGAAACACATAGTAAAATTTGTCTGTTGAAATTTAACTGCAGGCCTTTGATTTTCCAACATAAAATTTATTCCTAGCACTGACCAAGTACAATGCAAAAGATGTTTAAGAAAATATTGGAATCACTCAAAAGGTTGAGATGGAAAATCAGGTCCCTCAAGACCTAAACAAGTTAAGAATATCACTAAAATTTTTACTTATTTATTTTGACTTCAAGAACAGAAAAGAATAGCCTAGAATTCTAGATTTTGCATATACAGTTAAAAAGTATTTAAGGGAAAATTTAATTATTTTTTTACAATATAGTCTAATATAACCAAATATATTCTTATACCTTGAACATCTTTTACAATATAAGTCCATTGTAATAGTCATTTCTTCTTGGTTGTTTACATTCTTTGCATTTATTACAAAGTCAGATTTTTTACTTTCAATATGGGATTCATCATGGAATATATTTTCTATCATAAGACTTTCATTTAAAATGAAAATGCCACATGGATCTATCCTATAGTTGAATGTAGATATGATAGCTTTAATGGTGAAAAATATTTACATAGCTTAGTGTAAAAAAACCTCACTTAAAAAAAAAAAACCTGAATATTTTTTGGTTAAAGTGAAATTTTTTATTTTGAGGGAAAAATGGTTTTATTTCCATATTCATTTGTACATGTAGACAGGCTTTCTACTTTATGCTACTCAGAGACATTAAGTAACCCAACTGAAGCCTCAAATGAACCTTAAAATATAACCCTGCTTAGCAGTTCTCTAGTGATATTCCTTATACATTGCTGCTGATATATTTTTAGACATAAACTCTTGGCCTCATGGACCCCTATAATAGATTTATAGGAAAAAGTCATTTATTTTTGAACATTTTCCCATGGAATCAAAGAATTCCCATAGGTTAGAAAGATAAGAATTTGGCCTTTTGCCTGGGAGAAAGAGAATATCACAGATGCTCTTTTAGAATACTGTCAGCTATGCAAAGCTATAGTACTTCTGCTTGGCTTCCTTTTAATTAAGACAAAATAATTCAGAACTATTATTTCCTGCTATCAGTATTGATCAGTTACTCATGTTTTATGCATTAAAAATGAACACATTTTGGGAATGATTCACTTTATATATTACACATTCGTGTTGAAAAGCAGAAAAATTAAGTGTTATGTCATCTGTACTAAGAGAATTAGATCATAGTCTGTGTGGAAGAATCTTTAGGATTATATATCCTTTGTCATTTACCTCCTTGAATCACGTGAATAAAAAAAGCTTGCTAACTTGCTGTTGGCTAGGTCCTTCCTTCCTTCCTTCCTTCCTTCCTTCCTTCCTTCCTTCCTTCCTTCCTTCCTCAGCTCAGATAGAAAAAGTTGTGTATTCAAAAGTAAAAGTAAGCAAGTTTTGTTTTTTTTCTTTTTTGATACTAATACATTTAGATTCTAGTGAATAGTTCTGGATTGCAGTTCAATGTCAAACTATTATCTATCCATTTTGTTGTACTACTAAGGAATGGCCATATAGAGCACTGAGATTTATATCATTCATTGCCCAAGAAGAGTAATTGGAGGGCTGCCAACCAGGGTGCCATAAAATTAGATGAGTTGGTGAAAATTGAGATAAATGGTAGAAATTTAGGTAAGTGTTAAGTAAATATATGGCGATTCTAAACATGTGTTCCAATGATGTCAGAATTGCCCTGAACAGAAAGGATGCTATCTAATTGTCATCATTTTAGGAACTGTCTAGTGGGCAAGGATAGGGGTGGGTGTGGGTGGAGGCGGGGCGGTATAGCCTCCTCCTCTTTATGATCTTCCCTCTTTTCAAAGTTTGTGTCTTGCTATTCAAGTAGAAGGGTACAGACCTAACAGCTTAGTTGTCAGGGAAGTACTATTTATAAAGGCATGGTTCAATTTTAGGATGAACTTTTTGGAGATCAGCAATGATTTATTTTGCCCCCCCCCCCCAAAAAAAAAAGAAACCCCTTCAATCTAAAAAGAGTTCATTAGACTGAGTTTGAAAAAAGTGCAAAGGAGAGTAATTAGCAGGAGCAGACAGAGAGTGGCAATGGTTAGGGAGGAAAAGTCAGAAGCGCCCCCACCCCTCCCTTCCCCAAAGGAATCCCTTCCAGGCACAGAGTGGCTCTTATCTGCTGGAGGCAAGTTTCTTTGCCAGCTTAGCCACCTGTGTGCTGCGCTTGGGAAGGTGGCTTGGGAAAAGGGAGAGTTCAGACACAAGGCTAGATGCCTTCCTTGATGAGGCTGGTCGTCAAAATACCTCCAGAAGTCAGAGCTCTTAAAATGCAACATATGATCTGCTCTCGTACATTTCCAGGGTTGTAGTCCGTCATCCTCAAGACTGGTCTGCTCTGGAGCCGGCTGACACCTCCCCAGTGTGAGCTGGAAGGGTCCTTGCTGCCCTTTCCCTCTCACCTCCCCACCCCCAAAGTGGTGTTGCAGCCTCGCTCCGCCTGCACATCCCCCGACGCGCCCCAGGGGGTTATCAGGCTCCCCACACGCACCACTGGCTTCCTCTGGTGCCCAGCGCAAGGGACCCTGGCAGACCAACCGCTGCCGGGAGCCTCATCCAAGTCCCCTTCTCCTGTTCCCCTACCACGCGCAGCTGACTCTCTGACCCCCGCCCCCTTCCTTCGGCGCCCACTGAGTGTCAGGTTGAATCCAGGGTTGGACCTGCTGTTTTGCTCATCCCCACACTCAGCTTCTCCGTCAGCCCCAAGAAGTGGAATCTGCACTGAAACTCTCGGTGGCTGGAGCCTGCAGACTGGGCATGCTCAGAAGCCAGGGCTGGCTTTGGTCTCAAGTAGGAAGCTTTGCACTCGGGAGGCAGCGGCGACTTTGGGGAAAGTTGATCAGAGAGGGGAGGAAGCCCCGAGACGCGGAGCAGCGTCAGGAAGGAGCCCCCGGCAGCCCGGAGGAGCATGGGCACCCTGCGGGATTTACAGTACGCGCTCCAGGAGAAGATCGAGGAGCTGAGGCAGCGGGATGCTCTCATCGACGAGCTGGAGCTGGAGTTGGATCAGAAGGACGAACTGATCCAGAAGCTGCAGAACGAGCTGGACAAGTACCGCTCGGTGATCCGGCCGGCCACCCAGCAGGCGCAGAAGCAGAGCGCCAGCACCTTGCAGGGCGAGCCGCGCACCAAGAGGCAGGCTATCTCCGCCGAGCCCACTGCCTTCGACATCCAGGATCTCAGCCATGTGACCCTGCCCTTCTACCCCAAGAGCCCACAGTAAGCAGGGGTTGCGCTCCGGGGCCATGTGGCACCCTGTCGGTGGGGAGCTGCGGGTCTCTGTGTTGTCTGTCGGCCCCCGCCCCTCCCCTCCCGCTTGCCATGTCTGTCCTCATCCTCAGAAATGTTTCATTTTAAGGGCACTACTTGCGGGCTGTGCACGTTTCTAGAGCCAGACTCACTGCACCTATGTTGCCTTAGTGTCTTTGTCGGATGTCAAGCTATTTTTAAAATATGTACGTATACATTCATAAATGCCACCTACTGTACATAGAGTTTGAATGCGCCCCAGGTGTGTGTCCGGCTGTGTGTATGTGAGTGTGAGAAGCGGAAGAAAAAAAAAAAGCCATCTCCCCCAAGCCTTGGCAAAGCTGCCCAGCCGGAAAATCCTAAATGCAGGCTCATCAGACTTGAAATGAAATGCGTCTGGTATCACCCTTACTTTCCATGCGTTTGTGGCTCTCCCGGGTTCCTGTACCTGCTGGCACTTCGCGCTGGTACCCTTCAAACCTGATGTTCTGTCATCATCGAAGTGTCAAGAATAAGCAAATGCGCATACAAAAGGGAAGATTTTTTGATTTCCTGAATTGGATGACATTTGCAATCCACAAATGGAAGCTTAGTCTGTTGATCTCTTAAAAATCTTTTCATAACATCTGAGAGAGAATATTGCTTGGTTTCCTTAAGGAATTTGCATAATGTTACTAATGGGGCATTTCCTTCTCCCTAGGTTAGGGTTGCATGTTTCCAGGGTCAAAGAGAGAGAAGTACACCACCTTTACTGACAATGTGGACACATTGTTTACCTTAGCCTGGCTTCTGATGCAACCACTCCAGTATTGTTCTAGCATTTTAGAGAACTATGTAGTTCTGATGTCAGTGGGCTTCACAACTTGGCTGGGAAAATTGAATGAAATTTGTTCTACACCACTCAACTCAGAGTTCTTGTGGAGAGTGAAGTGACAAGAACTTGAGGTTAATAGAGAGTGAGCACCCGAATGAAGGTTATTTTTAATTAATAGATAATGACATAATTGATAATATGAAGGATTTTGATATGCTATTCCTAAGTACATCATATTGGCTGGATGACGTGTTACATAATAGTATAAGGTCCCTTGGAACCCTTCACTTCATAAACACAAGGAACTAATATAAGGAGAAAGAGGAAATACTTGATTATCTTCATTTGTATTTATTGTATTTGGGGGAGCTCGAGAGTATGTACTAATTATACTTTTGAAAAGTTAGAGTTATACCTATACTTATTGGTTCCCAGAGAGCACGTGCTGTATCTCATGCAGGTTTGACTTAATGAGGAGGGTTATTCGGGAGGGGGGGGGGACAGTAAGGATAAACGTTTCTGAGATTCTGACTTCACCAAGTTGCCCTAATAGTTTGGTAGGCTTAGATCTGCCTTAGAAACCTGAATGATCTGTATCCCCTTCAACTTTCTCTGGTCAGTTAATTTGCAGTCTGACATGCTTGCCTGTTTTAGCTAACCAGATACATGGCCATCTCTCCTGGGCCAAATTTCGCATAATGAAAAAATAACTCAAACACAGCTCTCTGTCTTTAAGCATTCCGTGGGATCTCAGTTTAGTATTTGCAGGACTGTGGAGTAACACAGAGCAAAGTCCACTTTTATAAAAAGACCATTTTAATAGGTTTTATAATGAAGCACAATCAAGCTAGCGGATAGCTGCAGTAAAACATTGTATCAGACAAGATCTGAAGGAATCTAGGCAGCAAGCAATGAGCTGAAGTTTTATATGACTTTTAGTGCTTGACATGAACAACTAGATTTTTAAAAGTCCGTGGTGGAAAATGAAATGAGTGTGGCAAATAATTCTGTTGCAATAAACATTTTATCTATCGAACAACACTGTGTGTTCTGATATTTATTTAATAACTTGTGCTTTTAAAAAAGTCAGCTACTAAAAAAATAAAATAAAAAAATATAAAGAAGTCAGCTGCTAAGGTATTACCATGATGATTTTGGTGATTCTGAAGGATTATATTGAAGAAAATGATAGCATGTTCTTCCAAGCTTAAATAATTTTGGAAAAACATCTGTTCTTTTTTCACACTTACATAAAGAAAACGAGAATAAAATCGGCTTAAGTGTTAGAGTGTACCTCTTGAGAGAAAGAGAAGTATATTGTATGCAAAACGATTATTGTTATATCATTTGAAGATAGCTCCACACGGAATTAGGAACACATGTCAAACTGAAGATGATGTATTTGAATTTCTATTTATTCCACTATAAATAATTGGATTAGTAGACTCATTGTCAACAAGTGTTTATGTTTCATTTTAGGGAGACTTAAATTTAGTCATCTTTCTTAAACTTACACACAGGTTATTGTGAGTTCAAGTTAAAAATGAAACCATGTAAGTAGCATAAAATGGGTTTTAACTTCATGTTCGTGTTCCATTCTCTTTCCATTAAATGTAGGTAACTGTTCTGCTCAATTATCTGATGAATGAAAATATGTTTGTTTACTTTTTGCTCACTGAGGTTATCTTGTGAGGATAATTTTTGAAACTTCTATTTTGTAGTGACTTTCAACCACTTAAAAATAATGTAAAATGAAAATTAACTTATTCACTTAGATTGCCTTAGCATTTTCAATTTGAAAGTTTCCCCCTTCAAGTGGGAATTGGAGGAAAGGCTTGGTCAGATCCCAGCTGACAGCCCAGGGCCCTCCTGCTGAACCTGTGAGGAGGGGAGAGTGTTTTTGTTTGTCTCTTTCACACCTGTATAAGAAACAGCCCTTAAGTCCTTTTTTTTTGTTATAAATGTGAAGAACTGATGTGGCAAATTGGAATCTGTATTCCATTGCTACCAAATAAAGACTTAAGAATGCAGAACTATCAGTCTTTATATTTTGAAATGAATTGAACAAATACACCCTTAAAAATGAGAAAAATACCTATTTTATGAGATCAGATAGCCTGTTGGTGTGTGTGTGTGCGTGCGCGTACTTTAGTAATTTCCTTTCATGATATTTCATTCCTGAAAATTAACTCCATAATAGGTTAGCACATTCAGTACTTGCTATTATGATCTAAACCCCTTACCTCTGGTGAATAGTCTCATATCCTTTGCCTTTTGCTCTCACAGTGTTCCAGTCATTTCCAGGCTATATAGACTTGAGCTCCTATCCAAAGTGGTTCACGTCTCTGTATTCTTGTTAAGCTGTTGTTTTTCACCCCAGAGGTAGTTGCATTTCAGCGAATGATGACATTTTGTTATAATTCACTTTTTGATTGTGAAGTACTTTGGGAGAGCTGAGGATACAAAGAAATATTTTCTTACTTTTAGGGAGGCATTCCTTTTAAGATCTTATATGAGCTTTTGAACCTTGACACTAGTATATTTCAAGAGAAATGGAATCTTTCTACAGGCTGTATGTTACATTTTGTAGGAAGTTGAGAGAATTATAGCATTTTAGTGTGATTATAGATGGCATCATAGTAAAACAGATTTCTTCAGTCTGGCTAGCGTGGCTCAGTGGTTGAGCATTGACCCATGCACCAAGAGGTCGCTGGTTCAATTCCCGGTCAGGGCACAAGCCCAGATTGTGGGCCTGATCCCCAGTGGGGGGCATGCAGGAGCCAGCCAATCGATGTTCTCTCTCATCGATATTTCCAGCTCTCTCTCCCTCTCATTTCCTCTCTCTCTAAAATCAATAAAGAAAAACAAACAAACAAACAAACAAACACAACACAGTTCTTTAAAGGTAGCGATTAAATTTCGAATGTGCCCTACAACTTGGTTCAATACTTTTGTGGGATGTCTGCCATATGCAAGCTCTCACCAGGCCTCAGAGGGGAGGGATGTATAGATCTTACCATCAAGGAGTTCACAGAGGGTTAACATGCTGCGCAAGTGAATATCCTAGAAAGTAGAGTAAGGCGTGCCACAGAGGGATGCTTAAGACAGCAACTACAGTTCAGCCCACGTCATTTTATAGTGTCAGAAACTCTTGTGGAAATGGAGACATTTAAAATACGTATGTATTTGGAGGATGGCCATGATGTAGCAGAGATTGGATTAGAGGGCTGGGGTGGGGCTTGGGAGGGCCATCAGCGAAGGATGGACCGCAGAAGAAAGCAGAGGTGCGTCTGGGGCATAACCGCGACTGGCGGCTGTACCAGAACACCCCAGTGGGAACTGAGGAAAAGCAGGTTTAGGCCAGAGGGAATGAGAATCTAGTTGCTATTGTATAAAGTAGGTAAGAGGGCATTTCTGCATGTGTTTAGAATAATCAAGATGTGTGTGTGTGTGTGTGTGTTGTACTAGAGGACTAAATGTTACCCATTACTAAAGCCCTGAATCTCCAAATGTCAGTGCTGTCCTCCAAACCCCGCCTCCGGCCCCCACTTAAGCACAGTCCTGATAACAGCCATAACTATTCCAGCTAGGTAAGGGTATTTAATTTAACCAATCAGCAGATGATTAAAACTCTTAAGGAAACGGAGTTCCGTTCTTCATAGAGAACAAGCTCCTGTTTCCACTCCCTTCAAACTGTTCCCATTGAAAACAATGTAATGTGCTGCCACAGACTAGCCGTGCAGATTCCTCACTGACCCAGGCAAATGGGACGTGAGAGCTGAGCCCGAGGTTGGTGTTTGAAATTCATCTTTCTTGTGGTGGAAGAGTTAAATTCCCACTTAACGTTATTCTAATAGACTTTCCTATTTAAGTTTGTTCGTAGTTTGACCTTATAGTCTAGACAGTAAATTTGAAGTTGTGGTAGCTTTTATAAAAAATGTATGAGAACAGGTTGCAGAAACCCTCTGTGGGTGATGTGAAGCACAGCCAAGTTGTGTGCCCCTCCAAGGGGTCTCACAATGAACATAGTGACAAGCCCTGAAAGACAGGAGCTCTAGTTACTGCCTGAGAATGGAAATAACCAGCTTCCTTGTTTTCCTGGGCCACCTTTCCAAGCTCCTGCTACTCCTTATTTCTCTCAAGAGTTGGGTTTGGA